TGTGGCATTTACTTTGTATGCATTTACATAATGTATGTAATATGTATGTGTATACAGATAAATTTTGTAAAATTTTATTACATCAAAATAACTCGCGTATTAGAAAATATTCATATTATATTATAAGTATAATTATATGTATATATATGTACTTATGTTAATATAAGTTCTTACAATTTACAATGGTATAAAAAAGTATAAAATGTAAATTTTGTAAATATACAAGAGTTATGCAGAAGAGAAGAAAAAAATGAATTTATGCAAATCATTTCCTTTGTTATTTTTATGCTCTTCCATTTAAAAATGCTATACATACAAATATCTATATATATATCTATATGTATGTATGTTGTAAATAATATAATATTCTTTTCTCTTGATCCATCATTTCCCAGTTATTGAAATAACCGAGATCTAGAGATTTTGATTTTTTTTTGATATTTTTGATTCTCTGTTGTTGGGTTTTTTCTCTGTGTAATGTTATTAGTCCTTTACAATAAATCCTTTCATCCACCAAAAAAAAAAAAAAAAGAACTTAGTTAAATTCTGAATATTAACTAAGAAAAGAGAAATTATACATGTGTGTATGTATATAATTTGTGTTATATTAGTTGTATATGTATGTATGTATATATAGGGTATAAAAGAGTTGAGTGGATACGGATTTAAAATGTGATTCATAACATGATACTATGATGATGTGAATTTAGATTTTCATCATCATCGTCATTACCATCACACTATGTAAGCATTATCATTATTCTACTATGAATGATGGTGATATTTTGGTTGGATATAATATTCCATCTCTATAGCCATATCGAAATAAGACTTCAAAAACCAGAGTAAAAAACAAAAATAGTAAAATCAAAAGAAAAAAAACTAAAACAAGGAATTGTACCAGGGACCATGTGTCTAGTTAGATTTTGCATAAGATTGTTCTATATATATATATATATATATATGAGATGGTATATATTGTATATATAATTGTGAATATAGTAAAATTTGCAGTACAACGATTAAATAATAATAGAAAATGTAAAATGTTAAAATAAGACGGTATTAAAAAAATTTATATGCATACACTAAACACAAGTCTTACTCCAAATTACTCGTTAGCCATTCCTTATAAAATCTAAATTTTTTCGTTGAAAATATATTTAAATCTATTTATTTAAGGTTTCAATGCCAAAAATTTTAAATATATATTAATGATTCCGGATAATTTGGTTATCATTTCTTTTGGTTTAATTTTTATAATGGCGTTGTACCTCTCGTTTTTAAGATATATGTTAAACTGTCATGCTTTGAGTGGTGGCTGGCATTTAATATATTGTAGAAATTGGAAATTTTATTAGGAAATTAAGTTCTAAAATGACTTCTAAAATCTTTTCTTTTTGAAATGGGTGGCATGGCAATTGAAGATTTATTATTGAAGATATATTAGCAACTCGTGAGGTTAATGCTACAATTAGATAACTCGCAATTATTGGTTTAGAGAAGCTCGCAATTATTGGTTCAGAGATATTGACTTTTAAAAATTTAGCAAATAATTTATGATAAAGATATCAAGTTTTGGCATTATCATTTTCAGATATTTAAGAACACATTTAAGCTAAGATATTGATTGCAGATAAAAGAGCATTCGATTTCATGACACCTAGGTTAATTATCTAAAAATATAAAATTTTCGAGTTATCTAGTTGTAGCATTAATACTTCACGAACTATTTTTTCATAAGTGACTTTGTATAATATCCATTTTTCTTAAATAATTTCTTAATTTCCTGCATTGTAAATCGCATTATATTGTATCAAAATTGGACCCAGTTTATGAGATTAACCTGTCATTTTTATTTGATGTTAAGATAACACTGACAATTGTGAAGCATACTCAATTTTATGTAGAGGTCGAACTAATTTAGCGTAGAACTCGTATTTATACATTCGTAAACACTTACATACACAAGTGCATACAGTTATAGTGACATTTTTTTTGTTGTATGTTTTGCTTTTTTTTTCTCTTTTGCTATTGCTATTTGCATGACAAATTATGATGATTTTTTAAGGTATTTACTCAAAAGTTTGATGTACTTTTAACTACTTCTTTGTTATGATTTCGAATTAAATAATGCACGTAAGAACTTGAAAAATTTATGAGTTTTCTTCTATTTTTCTTGTATAACAATTTATTTTTTTCTGTCTTCTATAATAATTTTTAGTTTTTCATCTATATATATTTGAAATGCAAAGTAGTACAGAGAATATGCAAAAAAAACATGAAAAAAAAAAAATTTTGTTCTATTCGTTTGTATAATTATGTACGTGTGTATTAATTCATGTACCTATAATTCTATATATATACGAATATATATGTATATACGAGACATATACATATAGAGAGAGAGAAGAAGCAATTAAGATTAAATCAGATGAATAATAGCTTTTAAATTTGTTAAAAGTTAAGGAAAAATGAAAAGTTTATTTTATTTATTTTAATTTTTTGATTTTTCTTTTTTTTGGAAAATTTTGTTCTCCTTTTTATTTTAAAAGCTTAAATTATAATAAGATTAAATATAAAAGTTAAACTTATTCTTATATAGTTTTTAAAAAATTAAAGCTATAATAATGTTTTCTTCTTAATTAGTTGTTTTGCATGAGTGAAGGGAATATGCGTTTGAAATTATAAAAAATTTTTAACTTTTGATATTAAAAGCAAATCAAAGAAATGGTTTTCAAAGTAGCACATTTCATTTAAACAAATTATAAGAATGTTTTATTCTTTTAGTTTCTGCTTACAATATACTACAAAATCTAAAATTTTGTATGAGTCTGGTCGAAGTCGTAGAATCTGTTTAACATCTAGTGGCAAATAATAGAAATTATTCTATGCTCATTCGAGTTACTGTCAAATTTTCTAAAATTAAAATGGCGACAATTAAATTTTTATGGGAATTTATAACAGATTTGTTTTCAATCACTTGGATGTTAATTTTCGTAGTCAGAACTCTATCAGATAATATTTCAGTTTGATATGCAAAAGTTATCGAACTTTACTGTATAGATTTAAGCTTCGATTTTGGAGCATAATACAAATAGTACCTTAACGCCTTAATTTAAAAGAAATGAAAAATTTCACTTTTTTAATTTTTTTCAAAATCAAAAATGTCTTCTTCTTATTAGAAAAAATTATTAGATTTCTGTATTTTATGCAATTATTTAGAAAAATAAAGAATAAAAATTTTAAAAGGCAAACTCTTAAATAGTTCCGATACAAAATATTTTTAGATAGTAGTACTATTAGAATTTAAAGGACTAAGTTTCTAACTCTTAGAGAGGAAAGACTGAGGAGAATTTCCTTTCGTGGAATAGATTTATGGCAAAGATCTCTTTTATGTATCACATTGCATTGCTGACAACATCTCAATGTCTCAAAAAACATTTAAGTTTTGCAATGACGGCCGGACGATAAGTGTTGAATTTTGTCGAAAATTTGCTAAAATTACTGTAAAACAATAATGAAAATATAATTGTATTTCAAGTTGTTTTTGTTTTTTCTTTTGATTTACATAAATGTGGTGTTATTGTTGTAGAATTTTAATTTTAATAATTTTCATTTTGTAAGAATAATTTAACAATAATAAATTTTTGCTTTTTTTTAATGAAAAATTTTTTTGTTAATTTTTATTTACTTTTCGATTTTAGTTGTCATTTTTATTAACTTCTTTTATAATTTTATAATTCGTTTGTTGAGCGAATTATAATCTCTCTTAATTATCTTGTTTATTATCCTTGTTTTTTTTGGTATGTTTTGTCTAGACAATAGGCTTGAATTATTTTGCATTCTGAGGGGTGTGGTGTAGATTTCTTCCAATTTATTCGTATTTAAGAATCACTATGAACTTTTTTTTTTTTGGCTGTTGGGAAAATTAAGTGGTTTCATTTCTTTATCTTCAATGAATATATTTTAATTACTATTCAAGCGTTATATGGAAATAGTCTTAAAATCAAATGGAATCAAATCTGTTATTTTATTTTATAATTTCTAATCGAGGAGTTTTGCAATAAATTTTTTATTTTAATTTGTTGACCTAAATCGGCTGAATGATAATTTATTTATTCTTTGATTTTTTAAGTGGTGTATGACGTTGCAATAAATCATAAATACTTGAGTCAATTTAGCAAGGATCTATTCCGAAAAGTCGAAATTTATAATTTAACAAAATTTATTTTAATTCGAACACTTTTTTTGAGGAACAAGGTGTTGAATTTTCCAGCATTCAATCTGTGCAAAGTAAAGGGAATTGTGTAAATTTCCAGCATCAAATTGAGTAGAGACTGTAAAGCTTATAGGATTATTTTGTGTATATTTATATTATTCTGTACATTTAAAGCTATTGGAATGATTAATATACCTCACATTTTTGGGTACATTTTGATGTCAATAATAAACAAGACAAGATTTCTTTACATTCTATGTAAAACATTTGTGCATAGGTAGTGTAAAAAAATGGTTTCTCTTGATAAAAATCTTGAAGATCATAAATTTTATCAAAATTATTTTAATGTGAATCTGATAACAGGCAGAATTCTTTTTTTTTTTATTGTAAGGAATAACAGTGTCTCTGTTATGCATTAGAGACTCATATTATTGTTCTTTTGTTTTGTGAAAAACATAACGAATTGTAAGCGTCGTTAAATTTTTCATAAAAATTTTTCTTGATGATTTTATATTATATTGTTAAGTATGTCATCACCACACTTTATCAAAATGTCATTATTTCTACATAATAAAATTTTTAATCAATATTATTTTGTTCTATGTAAATAATGACTTGTTAACATCATTATGAAAAATGTGCTAAAATTTTTCAATAGAAAATGTTTTGGTGTGTGTATATGAACAGGAACTTTTTTGTATTTACTCTCTAGAGAATTTAATTTTTTTAGAATTGTTAAAAAAAATTATTAATGTTGAAAATTTTTTTTTATTTTCAGGTAATTCCGTTTCCGGTGCCGATTTAACAGCGTAAGCAGTAATTTTTTTAAATTATGTTATTTAGATAAAATATTTTAAATTTTATTAAAAAGAAGAAAAAATTACAATTATATCATATTGTGTATTTTTGACATCAGTTGAATTGCAGAGTCAAGAGTGGAATTTAAGAAAAATGGTGAATAAATTTGAGCAAATTTTTCACAGACTCAAGCATACCAAAGATTAATTTTTTCATTGATTGCATTATTATTGCGGTTATTACATTAGTTATAAATATTGCAAGGCCACATTTATATTTCGGTTTTACACCATTCCAATTCTATAGGCCTAATATGCATTTCCTTTGCTTTCTTTTTAATTCACGAATGTAGTCTTACAGTTTTTCTCTAAAACTGGCACTTTTAATCAATCTCTCAGTCCAATTATTTGTCTTTTAATTGTTATTCCTGAGGTATTTATTGCCTGAAAGATCCGCATCCCCCTCTTTTATAATTTTCTGATTTCCAAATTACACATACATACGTCAATTACTAAAATATATTGGTCAAAATTTTTGTAAAATTCGAGGTTTTTTTTTCAACATTTTACATGGTCACTGGTCAGCGACATGGATCTCATTAAATTAAAAAATTTGAGGAAATTGATTTAATAACTGACCCATTTGTATGAAAATGCTTCATATATTATGGAATTGCAGTAAATATGATGATAGTGCTTAATTATTAAATATTCTAATAACTAAGTAAGGTTCACTACAATAATGTAATATAAAGATTTAGCAAATAACAAAATTTAAATTGGTTTTGAGGTTTTCAAAGAGTAAATTGGCGTTTATTATTTGCAGAAACTCTGTAATTTTTTAACAATGTAACATTAAAAACCTTTATGCTGCCATAAGTTTGTCTTTACATTAAAAAAATTAAATTGCTCTATTTATAAAAATTTACTCTGCATCATATAGCTATGGTATAATGTTCATAATAGATGTATTTATCTGGCACCATTAATAATTATACAAATTTTATGATTTAAATAAAAAAATAAAAATTTTTTATTTCATTGTAATTATTGATCTACAAATACACTTAATTTACAATTTAATTTACCATGTTGAAAAATACGTAAAAATCAAAAAATTTAATTAATTATGCCGTAAGATCCTATTTTTATGTAATAATTTTGATATGACAACAATTTGCTTAAATTATTTTAGTCGGTCACGTTTTTATATTCAAAACTTTTTAATTATTTTGCAATTAAAATGTTCTTCTTCTTCTTTAAAATAAAAGTTGTTTGCAATATGGTAGATTTTTTGAAAATTTCTGGATTTTCTGATAATTTAAAGAATATTTGAATTATTTGTTCAACTATTTTTGAGTGGTAATAAAGATTTAGTTTTTATAATAATTGTGTAGACGTGACTAAATTAAAAACTACACAGCGGGATTTCTTTATATTTTATAAAACATTTGAATAAAATGCGAATTCAAAGAAAAAATTTGCTTTAAAATAAAAACAATTTGTTGGAATAATTAAATTAAATGTTAAGTTAAATTATTTGTAGGATAAGAATGTATTTAGTAAGTTTGTTGGAGAGGGTAAGCAGCACCGGGCCACCAGAAATCCCGTCGGCTTTCCTACACAACACACAATTTTGCGCTAAACCCGTTGCAGTTCCTTGAAAAAACTTAGAAGATTATCCACAGGCGCCTCTAAGAGCTAAGGGCATTCGCGTAGCGTTTGAAGCGCATAATATAAATTTTATTTAAAGTTTTAAATACTTACATTGCAGCGTTCACTTCAAACTGGGTATATAGTTCCGATCCATGAGTTATATATTGCCAAGAACACAAAATTATTACCAGTAGATGACTTCAAATCTAGCATGGTAAATTAAACCTAAAGTTAAAATTTATATTTTAGCTTTTACACTTGTATATCTTCAAATTTTTATAGGGAAGAACGTTGTCTTCCCAGAAAATTTTTGTCTTCCTCGACAAATTACTTTCAACTATTTTAAGAGCAGTGTAAAAATTTTCATATACGTTAAACAGGAATTCTAAAATTTCATTAATAATTTTTGTTAGTACAAAACTAGTCGATCACACTATAGAAGAAATTAAAATAAAGATAAAATTGTAATGATAAAAATACTTTAGTCGTCACATATATTAATAATTAATGTTGAAATTGTAGTGATATGGAAGGGAACTTTACAGAAGGAAATCCACTTTTTGAAACTAAATATGAATCACATTTCGTTAGAGAGCGAAAAAAGGTGTATAAGAAATTAGTGTTCTAATAGAGAAATATAAAGAGAATATTAGGCAGACACTTACGAATTGAATACAATAACTATGAAGAATATTTTGCTAATTCGAATACCGACTTTGAAATTCATTACATATGATTGGAAATTAAAATTACTGTCAATATTATTCTTAATTTCTTTGCTTATAAGATGATTGTATTCTTTCTTCTTTGTTCCAGTGTAAGCCTTCCATCTAATCAAATATTATTTTATTAAAATTAAATTGATTCTTAATTTGCCCCAAATTTAAAATTGTAACAAAATATTAGGTATATTGGGTAAATTCAATATTGATGTTCGAATTTTTTACGTCGTCCAATATTTTAATTCACTAACATTTGCTTATATTTAAACTCAATAACGAACAAAATATTTATGTATGATAAAACAAAAAAGCTATATTGCAAAAACTCAAAATAATTAAAGAAAATATTATAATTTTCCATCATCAATATTACATTTTTTCACAATCGATTATTATAACTAAATGAAATTTTAACATGCCATCGCGTTTCAATAATAATATTATGGACGTTTCCCTTTAGGACTATTAAAATTGTATATATATATACGAATGTATATAGGAATATAATTATGTACGTGTTTATGCAAAAGTGTGTTATTATTAATGTTTTTTTTTTCCAAAATTTGTACTAATTTCATTTCAACTCATTTGGTTGCTTTTAAGATTTTTCATAAAATAATGAAACAGAAAATCAACCTTTAAGGGATAAGCTGTACAAAAAATAATTAAATATTTTTACGTGAATGTATGTACATATATGTATATATTTATGTGTGTATGTATTAATATTATTCCCGTTATGATACGACTATAATTGCACGAAAAATAATTAAATGAATAATATTTTTCCCATATTTATACAATTGGAAGTACATACATTTTAATGTATGTGTACATAAATATTCGCCAGGGTTGCCGTTTGATTCATTAGAAGAGGAGGTTTTTTAAATTAAAAACTTAGTATTTTCGAAAGAAAAAGAGTATAACAGTGGCATCACTGTAATAAAAAATCTGATGTGGTCAGCACATAACCGACCGCATTGTGTATTGTCTAGTTAAATGAAAGTGTTACAAAATATTATAAAAATGTCTGTTAAATACTTCTTTTCAATTTTTAGGACATTAGTAAGCTTATAGTTAACATACCTAGAAAAATGTAAATTTGGCTCTTAGTAGAGTTTCGTTTTGTGCTACCCGAATTCCCTGAAATGCTCGCCAGTTAGTTTCGGTAACAACCAGAACTCAAATATCAAATTTCAAGAAATTCCATCAATCCGTGCCGTAGATATGGTGAAATATGTAAAATCGGGCCACAGATCAGTTTTTGAGCCCTGATCTTTCCAAAAAATTTATATGTTCATTGCGAGGAATTCATATATTAAATTTCAATGAAATCGGTTGATTATTTCTCTTTATATACACAAAAATGTATATTTGGCCCGTAGTAAACGTCTAGTTGCCGATGCCTGATTTCTTCCAAAACATGCGAATTTTTGCGGACGGTCGAGCTGAGCTTATATATAAAATTTCAAGTAAATCGGTTGAAGATTTTCTTCAAAATGTTCAAAAATGTAAAACAGGCCCGCTAAAAAGTGCAGTTCCCGAGGCCTGATATATACCAAAAATTGATCAATCCGTGCCATGGTGGAAATAAACTTACATATAAAATTTCATAAAAATCGGTTCAGTAGAACTTGAGATAAACGCGTGCACACACAGACCGACAGACCGACAGGTTGCTAAAAATAGTTTATTTACACTTCCCTACTATGGAGAAGTACGTTCCCACCGAAAACTCGATATGCAAAATTTGTTGCCATCACATAACCTACCTATTGTTTACACAATACGGTCGGTAAAAAGTGAAAATCATTTTGCAATAATTTTAAATTGCACGCTTTGGTAAAATAATTAATGGGTTTCTAATTTATTAGTCTGACAAAATTGCGACAAAACTGGGAAATTCTACAAAGTTTCCGGTATTATTTGATATGTCATACTTGTTATATTCAATTATTTTAGAAATTAGTATTTTCTAAAATAAGTTTTCGCAAAATTTTGTCTAAATTCCCAACCGTATGCCTCATTATGTCGTACAAGCTTTTTTGCACTTTCAGTTTTTACAAAACAATTACCGTAATATAGTATTTTATATAAGGATATATGAACGTGGAATACATAAAACGGCCAGGCAACAGTACAGTAGTAGTGGGCACAAATTGGAGTACAAATATTCCGATCAGAATATAACGGTAAATTTAAAACTTTTACTCGTACACATATTATGTGTGTTATACGTTAATAATATTATAATGAGAATGAAAATACACCTTGAATATTTTATCATTTATACCATGTGTAATGATAATGTTAGGGGTACATATTGCAACCGCTATATAATTACAAACATGACTATATTTATGGGAGTAAAATTGAAATTTGTATTTCAACTATATGTATATAGAATCTTAAATAAGTGTAAATTGATACATTTTGTACAAATTATATAATATTATTATAACTATAAAGTATTATACTTAAAAATGTTTTATATAAATTGTAATATAAAATGTGTCAATACAAAATCAATATATAAAATGTTTGTTTTGTATATATATATGTATTTGAAATTAAATTGATTCGGACATTGACGTACTTTACTATATATACGAGAATAAAGAATAAGGAAATTATTTTTGAAATTTTATTCAATTCTACCATAGCGTATAAAGAGTTTATTTTTTTTTGTATTAAAGTTTTAACCAGACGATTAAGCTACATTGTTGGTCTCAAATTTCAGTTTATATACATACTTACATACATATACGATGTGGATTTAGGAAGTGAAAACTTGCCAGAAGTAAGTTTGTATCTAAATAAAGGTAAAATCTATATAAATAATTATAAGCAAATTGTATAAAATATAAACACAATCGCAAATAAATTTGATTTTATTTAAAATTTTATTTTTTAATTAATATGACTGATGCAGATGAAATAATTCTTGTTTTGAAAATTGAAATTGAAATTAGAATTTCTTTTACAGTTTGTGATTTACATAGCGTTATCAAATGCAATATGGTCTTAGAATATAATAAAAAAAAAAAGATGATTTTTAAAATGAATATTCTATTTTGTATTTTAGAAAATATATAACAGTTATCGTATTAGGAAAATTTAATATTTTTCTTGTATCTCAATAGAAAACAGTATAGAATGATAAAAATTCAGAAATAAATTGCTTGCAATTTTATTTGTAACATTTAAAATTTCTATTTTATTAATAATAATTAAAGACTTTTTCAATGTTAGTATAAAAATTTGTGATATTCTACATAAGTATATTTAGAAAAGAGTACATGCTAACTGGTAATTTTAAGAAATAATGGCGTCCAATTATGTTCGTACTTTAACATCAAAGCGTTTTGTATAAAATGTTTTTCAATTGCAAGCATAATATTTAAAACAAGCTATGCAATTCATATATA